ATATTACCCGATATCGAGCCTGAAGAAGAACTAATTTCAGTCGAAGGGGGATTACATACATGTATGTATAATATGGCTCATAATTGTGAGCGAATGAGAGATATTCTTTGCTGTTTTGGTAACCGAAAAAAAAAGGCAGCCACTCATTTCTCGGTATAGGTAATTTTCTCCTCAATAATTATATAGTGAAATACGAATACAGAATGAAAAAAAATAATTACAAAAGAGCTTCAGGCTCAATCTTGAGTGATGTTGATTCAGCATATGCAATATCGTGTCTCTTTTATTGTCTGATGACATCATTTTCAGATTGTGTCAATGCTTCCCCTCCCCTTCTTTTCATCATATTATGAACTTTTGCGATTGTGCAATTATTTTTATTTTAATTCCATTCGTTCATGCCATGCCATCATAATAAGGCATGCTTTTTATTTTGATTCAAACGCACATCAATTGATTCCAAGACTTTTGCATACCCCCAGATTTCCTGAAAATTATTTAGAATCACACTAAAAGAAATCGCAGAACAATAAAACTTGATCGTAAAAAATAAAAGATGCCCAAAAATAAAAACACACGCAAAAAAAATTTATTTTCAAATTAATCATTTGGATGAGGAATAAGAATAAAGAACAGAAATAATGATGAGCTACGAAGGAGCTACCTACTTATGCTGTATAAACATTCAACACACAACGGAATGAAGTTGGAAAGTTTTGGGAATTTTTGTTTTTCAATAATGAGATGCATGAACGCATTTGATTATGGATGGAGAATTTCGTGATCTGAATAAGATCAGGTGCTGACGTAATTTGTCATTTTTTAAGATGAGATGACAGGAGAACTGTTGGATGTTAGATTTAGTAGGAGAGGTGCTTGTTGAATGTGTTTTGACTTTCTTGGCAGTAATGATTGGAAGATCGACTTTTGGTGGGAATCGAACTCATTTTCCAGCATCGTAGACTCTGCTGACCTACTGTTGACCTTATGTTACTTTCTTTGTGCATTTGATTTCGGGAATGGTTGGTTGTAAACCTCACCATCCCTAGCCTGAATGTGAGGCTACCACCCTACAGGCGAGGTTGTTTGGATAGGCTTTTAATCTATCCTTTAAAGGACTTATTCTGGCACAGGGCTCAGTCACCAGCGGTGCATTTAGCGGTATCAAGGGATCCCACGAGAAGGTATGCACTTGACATTAGGTCAGCTTCGGAGTCGGAGTCAGACTTCGACTTTCCCAATCCCAATAACAGTTAAGCTTCATGCACGGGTGCAGTGCTGATGAAATGATCATAAATGATCAAAATGTTATGTTTGAGTTCCGCACTGTTGGTTTCATGAAGCATAGATTGAGAAACACTGGTCTAATGACTTAACTACAGCATCGTCTGCTGTTGACCCTATATCGTTGATCCTAACCTGCTTATGGTTAATGTATTAATTCTTGTCCATATTGCGTGACAGAGGCGTGGTCAAGAAAGTCTTGACTCCCTGAAATTTTTGAACCGTGTTTTTGCTGTGGTCCAAAACGCTTATTGAAGAGGAGGGGTCTAGACCCTCCTGACTATGCCCCTGTTGTTTGATCTGACGTCGAAGAAAAATGTAATCTTGGGTATGGCACCAATGTATTAATGAATTTGCCATTATGAGATTAACGCTTTCGTAACTGAGTGGTTCCATATCGCAAATCTGCATCCATCTAATTTTGTGAAGCCTTGAGTTCAATTCCCACCAGAGACTGACATTTCGATTATTAAACATAGAATGTGCATCGACTTCTTATCAGCACATATACTTTACAACACATCCAACCAGCCAAAGTAAGAACATCACCACTTCTCATCCACAAACCAATAAAATCAGTGCTGAAAGCGAAATAAAAATTCAGGAATTTTTTGACTCGCAGGCATGTTTTTCTACCGAAATGTCCTTCAAATTGAGCATCATTAAAAAAATCGCAAGACAAAGCTTATCGCAAATAATTCATAATGAGTCAGCCAAAACTTCTTAAATGTCACAAAAAACAATGAAATTTCCATAGTGGCAATAAATTTGCGTGAACCAAGATCCGTATAATTAATAATAAGAAAAATTCACTTGACTGAATGGAATGAAATCTATTTAGACACTTAACAAAACACTGTAGCATGAGAGAGCTTGCGCTTGTGATTGTCTATTAAATGAATTGCATGTGCATTCATATTATGAGATAAATAACATGAAATGTTGAAGGGGGTCTTAGGTTTGAATAATTTGATGATTTTGGAAAATTCTGGTTCATTCTTACTGAAGTTTTACTCGACTTTATCCAGGGGGGAAACCACTCTGTGGAAATTTTCTAATGTTTTAATTCAATGATAAAAAATTTCCCCCCCCTTCTTCTATCATAGACACGACATGATTTATAAAGCTAGGACCCCCATGCAAAAATCTTTTCACTTTTTAAAAGTGGAAATAAAAAAAATCTCGCGAGTCTATAAGCATTTTTTAATGCACATTACTATTGTGACATAGCGCTGCTGCTTTAAATTGTAATTTATGTTTTTCTGTAAAAAAAACTTTTTCTGTTCAAGTCATTTTTAACAAAAATTTGATGATGTATGCAGGTACGATGATCGTTTTGGATTATTCTAGTTTCCAAAAGTATTTTTTGAATCAGCACGTGCCGCAAAAATTCCTCAAAAATTAGAGGTCAACTAGAATTGGTGCTAACTTTCTTATTTTCAAGTCTATTTGAGGCAAAATTACAGATATTTATGGAGAAAACGAGGAAATTGTGGTTGTAAGACGTGATCGCGTGTAGTTGAAGACATAGACCTCAAAAAATTATTTTTAGAATAGCTAAGCTATTTGATAATTAGTCCTTATATTCCGGACTACAGGCGAAATTGGTTGAATTAATGGTTCTTTTTTTTGCGAAATTCTATTTTTGTTATAAGTCAAGACAATCTTAATGGTGCTGTTTGAATTGAACTGAAAATCATTAGCCGACTATCTATTTTTAGGTTTTGAAATTGCTGTTGGTCATGATCAGAAGAAGCTAGCTTTATGAGGGGGGGAGGGGGGATATGAACCTATTCTTGGCCACTCCTTACAGTGATCATAACTTCAAGTCGACTTCAAATAGTTCAATGTTACTCAGTTTAAGGAGCTGTTTATATGTTTTGGAACACTAAGGAGGAAGGAGGACGGGGGGTTATTTTTCGAGGGGGGCATGTGGATTTTTTTTTCTCGAAAAACGCTTAAAAATAAATAAAAAAAATTTCAAAAAATGGAGGCAGGAGGGTGGGGGGGGGGGAGGAATTGTGACTTTTCGATGGATTTGAACCCGATATCAATATTGCTACGGTCACATTAAATTGTTTGAAAACCATTCAACGAGGAGGAGGCGGGTCAAAAATTACAATTTTTAATGTTACAAAATATGCGAACGACCCCGAGACTTGAACTCATGTTTGATAAATTCCTTATAAAGGTCAATTCAATGCTTGGCTTTAAAGAAGCTCTTAAAACTTCAGTCAAAGCCCAAGATTCATCTACTTATGAAAAATGCGCCAAAACATTAGCAGAACCAATCCTATAACTTAGTCTTGACTCTTTTTGCTCATAAAACATTTTAATGGCTTAATTTTGAATTAAAAAAAAATTGCAATTGGATGATCATTTCTCGTGGCTCGGAGTAAATTTACGTAATCATATCTGCAACATATAAGATACATAAAAAAACATTAAGTCATGTAAAAAATGGACATTTAAGCTACAAAAAAATAGATACATCTTTATTATGTTCATATTTCCTGTCGTTTATAATTGTAAAGAACATTCCTTAATGTTTCTCATAAAACCTTATTTTTTTGTGTTTGTGTTTCTGTGATTGATCATAATTATACGCCATTAAACACTCTGATATTAATTGCTTTTCGGTGTTTTTTATCTCAATCTCAATCTCGTTACTTTAACTATCAATTAAATTGCTAACAAATTGAAGGAAATTTACTTTTTTTTCTGTCCATAGACCATAGAAATTATAATAAAGGTAATAATAATTAAATAACAAATATTTACCAGATTATAGTGACAATAGAATTAGTTGTGATTTTTTTGGGGGTTCAGTGAGATTCTGTTGAGTTTAATTGACAATTTTAGAAATTAAATTTTTTAACGAACTTTTCAGATTTAAATTCCTAAAGCTTGAAAAATCAAGAACTATTCGGATTTGAATTTCTAAAGCTCAAATTTTAACGAACTTTAAAGATTTGAATTTCGATAGTTCAAAATTACAACGAACTTTTCAGATTTGAATTTCTAAAGCTCAAATTTTAACGAACTTTTCAGATTTGAATTTGTGAAGCTCAAAATTTAACGAACTTTTCAGATTTGAATTTCTAAAGCTCAAAATTTTAAAGAACTTTTCAGACTTGATTATTCAAAAGCTCAAAATTTTAAAGAACTTTTCAGATTTGAATATTTGAAGTTCATAATTTGAACAAACTTTTCAAATTTGAATTTTCAAAAGCTCAAAATTTTAACGAACTTTTGAGATTTGAATTTCTGAAGATCAAAATGTTTAACGAACTTTTCAGATTTGAATTTCTGTGGCTCAAAATTTTAACGAGCTATTCAGATTTGAATTTCTGTGGCTCAAAATTTTAACGAACTATTCAGATTTGAATTTCTAAAGCTCAAATTTTAACGAACTTTTGAGATTTGAATTTCTGAAGATCAAAATGTTTAAAGAACTTTTCAGATTTGAATTTCGGTGGCTCAAAATTTTAATGAGCTATTCAGATTTGAATATTTGAAGTTCAAAATTTGAACAAACTTTTCAAATTTGAATTTCTAAAGCTCAAATTTTAACGAACTTTTCAGATTTGAATTTCTAAAGCTCAAATTTCAACGAACTTTTGAGATTTGAATCTCCGAAGTTCAAAAAAAACTCATTTTGATACAAAATTACAAAATCCAATTTTAAATCTCATTCTTATATTAAGTCTACATTGTATGTTTTATTCAGAATGAACGAAAATAATGTCGGCATGTCATTTAATCTAATTGTAGTCTCTAGGCACACTAATGTGATGTAGAAAAAATGGAAATCGTGCTAAATTTCAGCAAATTAACTAGAAAATTGACACAAATTACGAAACTTTGTAAGGAAATGATATAAATCAGCAGTTTCGACATGAGTAGCACCAATATAAATTGAAGTTCCATACAAAACCCCAACAAAAACCACCCAACTATACAATAAATACATAAAATAACACAAGTGAAACTTGCAAATATATAAAAAATAATTTTTGAATCATTGACAAATCACGATAAACATTCACGCATTTTGCGTCTGTCTTAAAAATAATTTTGCTCCAATCCAGCATCACAAGAGTTCTCAAATCTCATTTGATCTTCATCCTCTTCCTTTAATTCCATTTGTTTTCTCATTTTTATTTCCTCTTCATCCTCAGACGCTGGTTCGTCTCCATAGGCATTTACTGGATCCATACCAAGAATAACTCGTACACGATCTGGGAGTCTTTTAGAATTGATAATTTGATGATAAATTGATTCAGCTGCTTCGAGGACTTGCTTTAAATTCATTCTCTCGCTAAGGTCATTGACATGCTTAAGAATTTCGGTAAATCCATATTCATTCTCAATAAACGTTGTCATTTCGTTGTCCAGAATTGCAATTCCAATTAGTAAGTGGAAATTAATGCACGGTAGATTTGTCCATAATACTTCCCATAATTCAAGAATATCTTCATGTGTAAATTCACGTTTATACCAGACCAAAAGCCAACGGAAACAGAAATACCTGAATTAAAGAATAAAAGGTATGTAATTAAAATGCATGTTAATTAAATTAAATTATATTTGTTATGTAGATTGATGAGGTGTGGTTGAGTCAGGCGTTGGATTGGCTATTGACACGCAAAATGCTTAAAATTGTCTTGAAAACTTGACATTTTTAACGACTTTTTGGATTTTGAAATGTAACGGCTTTTTTAAATTCAAATTTCAGCAGTTTTTCTAAGAATTTTACCAAATTCAAATCTAAAACTACCGTTAAATTAATAAAACCTGATTTTCGACAGTTTTGCATCAACAAATCCACAAAAAGGAACAAAATAAGCCACAATATACTCACATATTATCCGAATCATGAGTCTTGAAGTATCTAAAAAGTCTTGGATTCGCAAACTCCATCAACGTTCTCATTTTACCCAATTGATTTTTCATGCCTGCTTGATCCTCATCAAAATTCCTAAAAACTCGTTCCATAAATCCAACAAAGCACCAAAAAGACGCAGCCTCGTCGTCAAGAAGATATAAAATTGGACTAAGCAAGTCGCTCATTCCTTGGACGTATCCCACATCAAAATTATACATCACATAAGTTAATAGAATGTCTTGTAATCGATTGACATTCTCGTTCTCATCGCCATTATAAAATTCAATATTTCGGTCCGTTCGTTTCACATCCTTTTCAATTTGGCACTTCCTGTCACGATATCCCGAAAAATTTCTCTCCTGTAATTTCGATAATGTTGACCATTGAGCCTTCATTCGATAATATTCATCATGTAAATTCTTTCGTCGTTCCTCGCGCTCTGCTGTCGTGTGCTCCCACAAATCATAATTGAGCAAATACTTCCAAACATCAGCTCTTAATGATGGATCAATTCCACCACGAAAAATCACTTCCTTAATCCTATCTGGATCTGAAATTCGTCCATCTTCTGTCCTGAATTCCATCCATTGCTTTAATGTCAATGGACTGTCACGTTTACGAATTTCTCTAGCTGGAAGTCGATCATCCTTAACTTCTTCGACTTTTTCACTCATATCCACTTCATTCTTTTGATTATCAATTTCTGGTGATGAATCTTTACTATTACTCACTGTTTCGGTTCCAATTTCAAACTTAAAAGCACCTGGACGATCTTGAAAGCGATTTGAGCGAGTTGTTGTTCCTAAAACATTTTTACCGATTTGCGAGAGGAATTCATAGCCGTGGACTAAAAATGGACGATTTGGGCCTTTTGATGACTTTATTTCCTCTATGTTGAGCTCAGCGAATGATTTTTGAAGCTTCTCGAATTCTGGGTCCTAAATTGAGAGAAGAAAGTGTTATAAATGGAATTAAATAACTTGTTATGTGCAAAGGATGTTAAACTGCGTAGTTTGATTAGTGTTCGAAATCTCACCAAAAAACTCGTGAGAAAAATTTTCTCAGAAGAAACTTGATTGGAAATCTCGTGAACACAAAGGTTAATGGAAGTTTTTCTGATATTGACTGTGTTCCTCTTTTTGAATGTATATCAGTTTACAGCTTCAATGCCTCTGGATGCTATTTAAATCTCTTTAAGCATTGCGGAGTGTGAGGAACTAGCCGTTGAGATCCCTTTCGTTTGAAATTTTAAAACAAATGCTTTGTCATCGTAAAGGATGGTTTAAAATGAACTTTATTTATCATACAAAGTTGCGGAACTGACCTTGTCTAGTGCCCAAAAGTTAAAAAAAAACTTCATTTTCTCAATTTTTGGTTCTGATTATATTTTCAAATATTTTGAAAAAGTGTTCGGAACCGGGCATTTCTAAAGCATCCAGCATGCTTCTTGATATTTTTGGTAGCTTTAGAAACCCTATGGAACCTAAAAGCCTTAAAAAATCCTCAAAAAGTTATCAGGTTTTGTAAAAGAAATGTTCAAAATAAGGTAAACCATGTTGAAATTTGTGCAATGTTGAAATTTGTTCGATCAAATGAAATGTAAATCATCTAAACTAAACCATTTATAGAAAAAATTTGTATGCAGTTCTTTGTAAAGCAGTTATTAAAACTTTTCTACTTCATTTTGGATTGTGTTGAAGGTTCTTATAGCTTTAAATTTCAATTATTCAAAATCATATACAAAATGAAAGTTTTCATCTTTTTAATTATTTGGACTCAACTACTGATTCTTCTTAGCCCATCAGAGTTGAAAATAAAATTTTCTTTATTGCTTTTTCGATTAAAAAAGTTTCTGCGTTCAAAAAGTCATTGGAAGTCTTTCAAAAACTGATTTTAAAATGAGTTGTTTTCAAATGTTGAAATTTGTGCGAAATATTTTGACAAATTTTGAAATTTGTGTTTTTTTTTTGTCGTAGAAGACATGAACTGAGAGTAATGAAAAATGCGTTCGACTCAAATATTCATACAGAATCAAGAAATTTCAAAAATGCAACAAACTTCAAAAAATATTACAAGAACAAAAAAGCATTCAAGAACTACGTTCTGTTTTCAGTCTCAAATAGATGATACACAATAAACTTCGTTAAAATACTCTTCTTTCTTTTATTTCTCAAAACAATTTTGCAAAATTTTGTAAACTTATAGTGAATAAATTTTGGAAAAAAAACATTTGTAGTATGTTCTTGGTTTTAATGGTGTCTTCTCGTCATACTCAGTCAACATAAATGATATGCATAATGATAAATAAATTTGGAAATCTTGAAAAAAGTTCATTAATGCAGCAGTGTTCTTCAAAATTGAAATGGAGTTTATTTGGAAGTGTTCCTTAAAAGCAATCACCATTTAAAACCCTCGAAAATGCGTAAAAATATTGTTTGTTTACATTTCTGAATTGAAATGTGTTGCTGTCAAAAAAACGCACAAATTTCAACATTTTTTTGCACAAATTTTAAAATTTGACAAAAAATGCCAAAGTTCTCTTCCTATAAATTTTTACAGTAAGGCATTAAAAAGTTATAAGCAAATGAAATCTTCAAGTGCAAAAACACACAAATTTCAACATGGTTTACCCTATAAGTTTTTGAAGAAATCAAACAGGAATTGATAACTTTTTGAAGATTCTTTAGGGCTATTGTGTTCCATAGGTTTTATAAAGCTATAAAAAATACCAAGAAGCATGCAAGAACCTTTAGAGATTAAAAATCTTAAAATTGAGATTGAGAAGTGAGAAAAAAAAATCTCACGAGATTTGAAAACTCGCGAGATTTTTGGTGAGATTTTGAACACTAAGTTTGATTGAAAATTTGAAATTATGATCTGTGTGGATCTTTTATTGCATTTTTTGGAATTTAATGAAGATCCATCACATCCAATAGGTCCAACCAGCACAAAAATGTACAATTTCAAAGAACCAGTTCACTTTAAACATCCAGAATCGTCCTTACCTTAACAACATAAAGATTCTTATCATTTAAGCTCTGTTTCTGCAGTCTATAAAGTGATAATGTTCGTAGAAAAGAAGCTGGTGTTGATCTTTTAAACATATAAGTCACAATGTGCTGTGATTCACGATTTATGAGCTGAAGTTCTGAATCATGAACTTTGAAGTGTTTGATGTCTGATAGTGCAACACGTAAGTTTTTAAACTTGGGTGATAAGAAGCTGATGGGATTTGCTGCTGGCTTGAATGTTATCTGATTAATTATACTCCATTCGTCTGTTGATTCCTCAGCAATTTCAGCACCAGAAATTTCGACATTTTCGTTGGGTTTCCACTCAATGAAGTAGCTGTCTTGCCTCTTAAAAATGAATATAACACCAACTGTATTAAGTTCATTGATATGTGACGCTGGAACTCTCGTTAATATTACGTCAAATTGGTTGAAGATTTCCTGACGTGAGGAAAATTAAATTTATGAATCATTACGAAAACGCAAAAAGTGAAAATATCATGAAATTCACTTGTTAATAAGATTAAATAACCCTTACCTCATCACCATAGAGTTCCAGGCTATCGACTGTTGTCTCTTCTATCCATGAGCTGTTCATTTCACGTTAATTAAGTGACTAAATTTAAAGAAAACTCAATTTATGTCTGGCTCCTTTGTTATGATTTTTGTTTACTTCGGTTGATTCCCCTGCTTCGATTTTCAAATATTTTTTGACTGTTAAACCCTTGCAAAATATCAACCGTCGGAAGAAATTCATATTTCCTGCTTCGTTGAAAACCCCTTTGGAATTCAAATATTTTTTTACCGTTACAACCAGAAAGCTTTCTATCAAGATTTTTAAGCTCTTAAAAGTTTTTTCTTTAAATTTCAAAAGTTTGTTGATAACTTACATTTGTATTCATTTAGTAAAAAGCTCCAAATTTCAAAAATTAGCACTCGATGAAAGTGAAAATGAATTTGGAAAGGGGCCATTCACTTATTACGTTTGAATATTCGTTCGGGTTGTGAGTTGAAACATGGGGGGAGGGGGGGGGGGGGGGGGGGGTGTGAAAAAAGTTGTTTTTTTGCGTAACGTAATAAGTGAACGGCCCCAAAGAGATGCGAGACAAATAAAATGTTTTGGTTATATATGGGATGGAATAAGAAGCTCCATGGCTAATTAGATAATCAAGATTACATTGATCTTGCTCAGCAAATGTGCAAAATTTATATTTGAATTATATTTGAAGCTGAAAGGTTGATTGCAAAAATATTTAAAATGGGCGACATTCATGATAATTTAAGGTACTAAATCTTATAAAGCTGTAAATTAACTTACAAGCCGGCAAAAAACGAGACAATGTAAAGAGCAGCAACAGAGAAATTGTAAAAATGTGTAGCTACAAGTTAGTGGATATGTAGAGCATTTTACACGCTTTTTTGATTCTCTGTAAATTGTAAATGAATTTTAATCAAATTCAACTTTAATTTTTGAACATTTTGAATAATTTGAATTTGAACGAATTTCAAATTTTTGAAATTTTAACGGTTATTTAAACTTTTGAATTTTTAACGGATTTCGAAATTTTAAATTTTTAACGCTTTTCAAATTTTCGCTCGATAATGTAGAAAAGCACTAAAATTTTGATTAAACCACAGAAAAAAAATTAAAATCCACTCAATCCCTAGTTCCATTAATTCCCAACCATCATGTAAATCTCTTTCTAATCTTTATTACTTTTTTACTATCCTAAAAACAGCAAAACCAAATGAAATAGCAATACCCAAAAAGAAAAAAAAAAGTTTAATAGTCTATCGTGCCCATCAGTCATCATCATTACAATTTTTCACTCAATTTAAAATGAAATCTCATCGTCAGAAGTTCTGCCTTTATTGGCCCCTATACACAATGTAAATTTACTTGATTTAATGAGTTTATACTATGCGTGCTTTTTTTGGGTCAATGGTCGAAAAGTTTTCTACGATTTTTTTGTATGTTTGCTTCCCATAGACACAAAAAGAGACTCAGACAACTCAATTAATTAGTACTGATAATACTAGACTTTCCAAAAAAGAAAGAAATAAATTTATGCTTGTTTTATGGCTTAAATAACGGCTAGAAGTGCTTTTAAGTACTGGGGGTCCTCGATTTGAGTAGTTGTTTTGTTCCAAAAAATTTCTACTCAAATCGAATCTATTCAAATCGAGGCAAAGAATCAAAACAAAATTACATGTTTTGTTCCAGAGTCCAAAAAATATATCAAAACAATGAAAATTTTGATCATTTTTTGCACATTTTACCTCGTTGCTTAACTTTTCCTATGTGTTTTAGATAACTTAATTTATTTCAAGGCATATTCATATTGTTTTTAAACAGAAATTCACAAAAAATATGTTTTTGAAACAAAACAAAAATATGAGAACCCTGCAAACGTTAATTCACTGAACAATTTTTAAGGTTTTTGAATTTGAACTTTTAATTTTATAGCGATTTTTTAAATTTTTACTTTAATTTTGTAACTTTAGTATTGATTTTTCTATCAATATGATAAGTTCACGCTTATTGCAGTAAAATTTATGTTTTAAAAATATTTTCTGAAATGTTTTTATCAAAAATATTTGTTTTGTAAACAGTTCAAATCGAAGAAAACAGGAAGAAATCTACTCAAATCGAATATTTTGGTGGGTAAAAATTTTTCTGTTCAAATCGAATCTACTCAAATAGAATCTACTCAAATCGAGGACCCCCAGTATTCATAGCGTAATGTGAAAAGTTAAAAATGATATGAAATCGTTACTAAATGTGTGAATTGAGTGCATTTTTGGTAAACTTGATGGATAAAAATAAAACGGATTTTTCAAATTTGAAATTTGAATATTTCGAAATAACCACGTGTTTTTCTCCACCTCGAAAAGTTTTTTGCAATTTTTTCTTCAACAAAGCAGCTTTATGAGTGGAGATTGTCATTTTCTAGTTTAAAAAGATGGCAACAGTCGTTGAAACACAATCTGAATTCTAATTTTGCGTATTTCATCAAGAAAAAGACAAAATATGTAAAGACAAAGTGAATTTAACCCAACATACTCACCTCAGCAATAACTCGCACCCGAAATATACAGCAAGAGTCTATTCAGTCATGAAAAAATGCATTTTAATTATTTCCTATAGAAGTCCAAGATATATAGATGTGCTCATACAAAAATATCGCAGTTTTTAAACGTCAAAAATTTGAATTTTCTAAAAACACTAACACTATAAAAGAAAATTTTCAATTTTTGTTTTGCAAAATTTTTATTTTCTGTTAAGTTTTGTTGATACAGGAGTATTGCAAATGCTTTGCTATAATTTAAAGAAACTGACTTAAGACAAATGTTGTTGCATCTGTCGATATTTAAATGAAAACTTGAAAATAGAAAATTTTAAAAATTTTTGTTTGTATAAGTACACAAAAAATAGTATGGTCGAGTATGGTCAAGTATACTCTGTATGAGCCCATCTATATATCTTGTAGAAGTCAAAAGTATTTTTAATTGATGCAATTTAAGGCCACATAAGATAAAACCACATAACGGGTCAGTATATTTAATCATAAATTAAAATAAAGTCAGTCGATTCAGTACTGTTTTATTTCAATTAATTTAGGTCATAATTTGCACTCATAATGACGATGATGATAGTAATAATGATGATTAATTCAGGGAAAATATTTACCACTTTGCTTTTATTTTTTTCATTCATAATTTACAGAGAATAAAATCCGAATTGCAAACATAATTTCACATATATGCATGGTGTGATTTATTTATGATTTTCGTGATATGTATGAGGTCAAGTGTATCACATTAAGTGGATAGTAGTTCATCATGATGAATGTTTATGTACTACATCGCTGAAATAAAAAAGAATTATGCTAAATGAACTGCTGTGATTGACTTATAGTCCCGCATCGTAATGAAATTCATAATTTTTTTTTCCTCGAACGACTGACAAAATTTATGTTCATTTCAACATTGGGAAAAATTGGTATGACAAAATTCGTGGGTGGTCAGTACGTCTGGGCGCTTTATTGAATGGTTGGAATCCTGAAAACTTAAAGTTTAACGGATCTAATAAAATCAAATATTTATTTCTCACCTCGAAAATTTTTTTGATGATTTCTCTTTAATTAAGCATTGCTTTTGACATAACTGAATGCTATCCTCTTGAAAAACATGGCAAAAGCATGTTTAACCAGTTTGTTAAGCACACAAGCTTCTAAAATAGCCAAAGAAACTATTTTGAATCCACGTGCTTTTCACCTCTCAAGTATTTATCAATTATCTATTTAATTAAAGCTCTTCAAGTCTCAAATTAACCTTCAACATGGCAGAAATCATTAACAGCACATTTAAGTATGTAAAACCATTTTCCAAGCGAATTATAAGCTCATCATCATAAATTTCACTCACCCGAACGGCAAAAATGAACACTTAACCTCACATGTTGTCCAAAAGCTGCTCGAAAAAAAGAATAAACAGAACATGTTTATGCAATATTGTGTGATGAAAAAAAAAGCTGCTTTTACGTTAATTAATCGATGTTTATTTGCTTTTTCAATAATGAAAATTTATTAAATGCTTTTTCATGTACATTAAGTACCGTCTACAACAACTTTTTTTTTCTTCCTCGTCCTTAATTTTCCGCTCGGAAATCATAATTAACAATCAAGAGCAAAAAAGGAAGTATTCTACTTAAACATTAAAATAAATAAATAATAAATAATAAATAGGCAAAATAAATAAATAAATAAATAAATGAAAAATGAAAATTCACGTTTTTTTTCGCTACGTAAAATTACATAATAAATACACTTAATGCCAAATTTATGATCGCCTTCCTTTTGTAGCCACAGAAAAAAATAATAATAATAATTTTTGCGTGGAAGGCGAATATTTGTGTATTTCTATCGACTAGGGGTACCTCAAAAAATGTTATTATTTCTCATTTGATTTTTTTTCTCTGGGGATTATTCATAAAAAACGTTCTTGAATAGTCAGCAATGCCTAAGATGAAGGGGACTCTTGAAAAATCTTATTTTATAAAAACTCTTGAAAAATCTTATTTTATAAAAACTCTTGAAATTTTAATTAATTTTCTTATGATTTGGGGAGGTCAATGTAGGTAGATAACTAATTGACTCTACAAGGCGCGTAGCCAGGAAGGTGTTGTTCCCCTCTTAAGCGTTTTAGGCCGTGCTTACGATTCGTTTTAAAACGTTTAAGCGGGGACAAGACCCTCCTGGCTATGCGCCTGGACTCTACTCTACTAAATCTTCTTGATTGATTGCCTTAGGAATGTTACCCTCAGCCGGTGTGACTCTGTCATGAAGCAGGATTTAAATTGATTCCAGCGTAATGCCAGAGTCACGTTGGATTAGTATCAGATCTCTGATCGATTAACCGACTTGTGCTATACGAGTAAGTAGGGACGTAGCCAGGAATTTGAAGAGGGGGGGACAAAAAAATTTATTTCATGGAATATTGGGGGGAGGGTGGGGATTTTTTCATAAAAAGCCTTGTAAAATGAAGAATTTTTTGTTAATGTAGGGGGATATGTCCTTCAAATCTCCCCCCTTCCCCTCTGTCTACACGCCTTAGAATCAAAGTTAAATAATTTGTGAAGGGCCCCAGCCTTTCAGCTGGAGGCACTGCGATTCAATTTTACTTTTGCGAATCAGAGTTATCAAGTCATAAACTTTTTCAAGAGTGTAGCGGGGTGTCGTCAGGAGAGTCTGGACCCCCTCTAAAAGTTTTGATGACAGCTATTGAAATTTAATATTCGAATTCCCCATCAATTAATTTTAGACTCCACATCTAGACAGTAGCTGCATCAAAAAACCTATTTTTCTACAAACATCATTTATGAACGTCCCCATCCCTTCTTATTTTTCTTAAAGTTTTTTTTTTTCATTACAAGTAATGACGCCTGCTCCCTTCTTATTCCATTTCTTCCTATATTATGAGTTGAATATTTATGCTCATGATAAATCACTGAGTACTATAACAAAGTAACAATAACAATATTAAATCTAAAGCTACATCGTGGTTCAGAAAAAAATGGATATTTTTCTTCTTTTTCATTTAACTGAGCTTTCTTTATAGTTTTATGTCTAGCTATAATTTTTTCAAAAATATTTTGATACTAATATGAACCAATATGGATTGAATGTGAATATTTTAATGATAATCAAGGGAGTGGAAGTTGTGAGGTTTGATTGAATCAGTTCCACACCTTTGATGGCTTAACAAGAATTTTTGGAAATTTTTTGAAACTTGGTGTTTGTCATTTCTACTCCAAACTCAGCTTCCAATAGATTTTAAAAATTTCACTTGCATGCCATTAATTAATCAAATTCAAACAAATTTCGTGAGAATTCCAAGCATCATTAAAAAGGTGAGCAGTTCAAAATCGAGGGAACCACAAATATTTAGTGAAATTGACCCATAAAAAATTATCTTGTTAAGCCACAATGCATTGTCAGATGAAAGTGAAATCTTACGAATTATTAAAATAAATAATGGAAATATCTCTTAATAATTATTTATATCTGGCCTTGGATTAACCTTGATTGAGTCTACAGACTCTCATTTACAAAAAAAGTAAAATAATGCATCGAAATTCAATATAAATTAATTATTATTATTTTAAAGCACATCAGCTTTCATCATAATCTCTATAAATAGACAAATGAAGACTAATTGCTTCTTTCTTAACATTTAAACCAGTTATTCCAATAGAAAATGCGTTTTAAGCTAGTGAAAATGCTTTCAATTTCAACAGCACTTATTTCATTTCTCTTTCATTCTTTTCACTTCTTTTTATTCGTCTTACTTGACAAATATGCTCGAAAATATTCTCTCTGATTTTACTATGCTTTACAATCACCTCATCAATCATAATAATTTATTTCATAATAATTTAATTAACATCATAAATTACTTTTATAATATTTACACTTTAAGATTATTTCATTTCGTCGCTTTGTGTAAAGTTCTTGGACTTGTTTAATTAAATCTGGGCTGGAAAGCATTGAAGATTCTTTTAGGTTATGTAATTGCTGAGTTTTATGAACCAAAAATGCCATGGGTGGAGGATGGTCCTCACTTTTGTGTTCAGAAATCAAAAAGTTATGAACCTAAAATTCCACGGGTCGGACGGACCTTATTTCTGTGTTCAGAAATCAAAAAGTATCGTTATTTTCTCGTTAAATTTAAAAATTTGAATTTCTGAACACATGCCATTAATTTTTGTTTTTTGGGAAAATTCACATTTTATCAATTAATTGAAGGTCTAAACTGGCTGCAGAAAAGTAATTCCTGATGAATAAAGCTTAATGATAATCGTATTCTAAACAAAGACTTGAGGTAATTTTTAACAAACAAATTCAATGTTTATTTTTGGATGATGTTTGATAGTGTTAGCGTGGATTCAAATTTAACGGCAAGATTTCTGATCGCCACCCCTGGCAAAAATGATCAATTGAATGACTTCTTCAGCAATAACTCCAACATTCAAACTATTACGATCATCTTCAATCATTTTCTGAGCAGCAATAGCCAATTAAACCTCATTTTCGCTCGAGATTCAACTTTTAATAACCAGAAATCAAAGATTTCCAGACCATTCAACACTAGGTACCACTAAAAACATTTTCCAACCCTGACATAACCCATAAACTTACAAAACAACAAAACGATATTCATTCATAGAACTTTGATGGCGTCAATTTCATTTTATAAGGCACAAAATATGCTGTTTACATTTTTCTCTCTTGAATAATTTCTAAAGTATGATTTACGTTCCTAAAGATAAAATGATACAAAATCAAATAAAATGCCCAATGGAACCATTTAAAATTCATCAAATTACATGAAGCATTCACAATATTTAAGCCTAATGTTGTGTCTGACATTCAATATAGACAATTGTTTAGCCAAACAAGAGCATATGAACGTGACGCATAACGATAGAACTGCCATAGCCTTTAACACAATCTGCAATTGTTGGTTTATAAGCTCCGAATGATCTATCGGGTCGTGGATATCCCATCCAGTTAAGAATTTTCTCCTCAACATTGCCTGAAAAGAATCCATCCATAAAGGTTCTCTTTGGACGGGGATTTTTGCCATTCCTGAGATCATGAACATGATGAACTACGTTGTTCTTGACGTAGGTATCTGTTGAGTAAATAAATGTAATTATTATTATAAAAGGATTCAACATGTTGACTAGAACCCGAGCTGTACAGAAAAATCAATTTAAGCTAAATCAAGACTGTCTAAAATGCATGTAATGATGCCAGTCTCCATTGCAGCTATCTATTTTTATACTCCTCGGTTTAAGGTTACTTACAGTCAGCAGGTGGCAATTCTTCGTACGATGGCAGACCCGACGGTACACCTGGAACGAGAACTCTTCTGTTATTTGAAAATTCATCTCCCATGCTTCGTCCTTCATTAATTGATGATGAGTTAACGCTACCCGCAGATGTTTCATTCATCTTTCTTGTCGACTCATGCTGATGCTTTTTCGGATATTTTCTGATTTTATCCTTATTGACATAAAGCTTTTTTTCCTCATCGGATAAATACTGTGAATATGAATTGAGTGCTCTTGCATAGCGAATAATGAAGCCGTCATTTTGATTGACCTTTGGCTGTAGATTCTTGAGCATATCAACAATCGGAACCAATTTTGGGTCAGCCTTTTCGATGACTCGAACATTTTGTTGATTTTCAGGGTAAATTTCGCTTTCATATTTGCCAATCCTACGCGATGGACCGTAATCTTGTGTCATCATTTGATTCTGTTGATAGTTCTGTTGATAGTCATAATAGTCATCGTCAGTTGTTTGTGCTACTTTTGCACTAATCACTTGTTGGTCCGCATTGTAATATGATTGAGTAAATCCACGCATGATGTCTTCCATGAATGTCGACATTTGTTTACGAGCATTACCTAATGTAGCATATGTCACATCCGATACGACTGGATAATGATACCATGCATACTTTGACATACATGAACAGAATCCAATCTCAGGACCATAATGTGAATAGTGCATGAAAAAGGTTTTAAAGCTTCTCTTCGCGCCATGCAAAAGTGCTGAAATTTTCGTACTGAGCTTGTGAATTGATCTGTCGATTTTGTTGATAGTACGAGGCTGGTTTAAAGGCCTGAATGTGGAAGAGAAAGAGAAAATAAAAACATAAATAACGATTTAGCATTTCTTTCTGCTTCCCACAAAAAAAAATTGGAATAAAGTAGGTTTGAAAATTAAGTCATTTAAAGGCATCCCCATGATACAAACGAAAAGGAAGTAATAAGTATAAATGAGGTCAATGATGGACAGTAGTGCATTTATAGTAGCTTAAAATAGTAAGACAGACATAAAGGTGAGCTGCCTCGAGAGCTACACTTTCTCGAGCGACAAAAAAAAATATGTTGACAATGTCAAGGCAACATCAAGGCAAGCGACCATGTCAACCAGTCAGGTGCTGTGATAGAACCGTCAAGGGATCTAGCTTTAACTAATTTTTGATAATTTATTGTCAAAAAGGACGTTTTGTCTTTACCATAGCATCGCTAAGTTACAGCAGATGACCAGACACCTACACTCAGACAAATAGCAAACACCAGCTCATTGTCGTCCATAACAAAATGAGCTAAATATATTCTCACAACTGTTTGTTGTTTCTTCCACTCGACATGCCCATTTTCACACAAAGGAAATGAGAAAATTTATTCAAATTTAATTCAATCATCAATTTTTATTCAACACAAATCTCTTTCAATCATTCTTTAAGGGTATTATTGTTGTTGCTAGCTATTGCTGCTGCTCCTTTTTTTCTCTCTTTCGGAAAAGTATAAAATAATAAAAATAAAAATTGAGGAAAAAAATATAATTCAATTGAAGCATTTAGATTTTATTGTTTCAGGAGTAAGGATGCCAGTTTTGGCATTTTATCCTTACCGAGAATTACTTCCTCACACAATATTTTTGCTATAAATATACAAATATATCATTCCACATTTATTTATTTATTTAAATTTAGGAATTTTCAAACTATTTGCTTTTTTTTTTTATTTATTTTTCTATACTGAATGAAATTTGGAACGCAAATGAGTGTCGTTGAGCTGGTGGTGCTGAAAAGTTTGTTTTTAATGGGACTATTGAGTTTATTTGAGCAATTTTAAGTGAAACTAGCGATAGTTTTCTTTTGAGTCTACAAATTTCAATTGGGTAGGAGGTCGTAGCTCATTTGACTTAAATGAGATAAAAACCAGACTTATTCTTAACCTCATTTATTAAAAACAGCAAAAAGTTGTAGAGTCAACTTGATCTACATATAGAATTATGCAGCTACAGAGCTTGAAGTCAATGGAATTTTGTAAGAATTCGAGTCAATTCGGAGTCGACTTTACCATAGAAAATCGATTAAATCTTGAGCTCTGATCCAGCATATAACAGTTCGTAATGAAAATTTCAAAATCAATTTTAATTCAAACTTAGTGGTCGTTCACTCACTTAGGACGTTCGAAATTAACGGTCATTTTCAAAAAAAGAACAATAAATTTCCAGGAATGTCAATTGTTCTTTTCTTGCTGACCCCCCCCCCCCCCCCCCCCCCTCTAGACGTTCACACAAAATTCTTCCATCTTTATTAAAATGCAAATCAAATTTCCTAGAACAATTTAGTCATCAACAAATCTCAAATCTTCAATTACTCAAAATTACATCCGAGCAATGTAGCATTTTATAGACCGGAAATCCAATTTCAAAATTTTATTACTAATCTCTGGAGAATAGCAATTAAGTCCATTCTAAGAATTTTTCTTCCTATCACAAGGCTTTACATAAACAAAATAATTCAGAGAACCTTATCCAATTTGAAGTTATTGCGATTAGATTTTAGTTCATCCCTTAGAGGCAGCATTGGGGTCTCGTGAATTTTTTTTTATGCGATTTAATGTTTTATGGCGAACCACGCAAAGGAATTTGAGTTTTAAATTTCCAATTAATTGATTTTGAATAGAGTTTAAAAAGATTTTAAAGATAAAAGGAAGTAAATAAGGGTCCGTTCATTAATAACGTCCATCAAAAAATATGATTTCTAGACCCCTGTCCCACCGTATGTCACAAAATTTCTGTGGAAAAATTTTCCTTTATTTGAGCTGTCACATAATCCTAGACCCCCTCCCACCTAAACGTTGTACGCAATTTTGATGCAAAAGAAACAAACCGTCTCTTAGCTGATGTGGTGTTGTTGCAGAGTGGAATTGTGGGGTTTTAAGCCATATATAGGCGAATCTGCCAGTGCGAGAATTAGGAATCTGCTGCGCGAGAGGTTAGACAACATACTGGATATCTGGAGCTCTCTTTTGTAAGTACGTGAGTTCAATTCCCACCAGAGACTGAACTCTCAATCATTTTATAGAGTGTTGTCGATATGACAAGGATTTGCACAATGCTCACGACATAAAATGAAGAACATTCTTAAATCTTCTAACTTATGGATATAGATACTCTTGCAAGAAAGCTACCAATTGACTTAAAATGCTATTAAAAGCTCTGAAGATTGTTTTCTAAGCAAACCATTTTTTTGACTACGCTCCAATTAAGGACGTCATAAATAAATAACCCCTAAGTGCTGAGAAGGTAAAAAAATGTCGAAGATAAAGCGAAAAATAAATAAAATGAATATTAAATTGGCATTTATGAGAGACAATTTTACCATTTTTTTCCATTTTCCCCATTTTCCCCAATCTAAAACTGACACGAGAAATAAATTTTTTTCTTTCTGTATCAATCCCCGACGTTCATTTTCCTCCTTACCTTATGAAAATAGAACGCGAAAGATAAAGAAAAAAAATTCTAAAAGGTCAGGCAAAAATAAAGAGAACTTTTTGTGTCCCGCGAATACGTAATGAATTTTCACATTAAAATATTTTATTTCCCTTGCTAGTGAAATTAAGTTTGCGAGAAGATTCAGACAATCATCGAAATGTGACGCATTTTTATGAATTAACGATGAACAGATGTTGTGACACATGTGTGTCATCCGTAACGGTATGTAAAAAGTTTTTTATAAGGTAAACTATAAAAAAATTCCGATTTTGTCGCGAAAAAATGTTTTACTAGTATTTTATGTGAAGTTGGTGTCTGATGCCGATGTCACGGAGAAATCTCGTAATTTAATGGAATTTATATTTTGTTGATGATCAAAGAATTTTTGAGATAAGTTTTGAATTCTTGGTTTGTAGAGTTTTTATTGGATACACGGGGTGTGATTAATACCGAACAGAGCTAGTTCAACAGAAGTTACGTTCTTGAAGTAGATTTAGCATTTTGAATTGTAGAAGCACTCCCCTTGCCCATAATTGTTCAATAACAACCTCAAACTAGGCAGTATACAGTCAAACACCTCCAACTTCCATACAAATACCCTAAATACCGCCTCTTTATATGAAACAGAGTTGCAATCTGTCACAGGTCAACGAAAACAGCCCACCTGTCACAGGTCGCCTGTTTGACAGGTCACATGTTGACAGGTCACATGTTGACAGATCTGTCAAAGATTTGCAAATCTGTGAGCCTAGTTTCCGAGCCTGAGATAAAATGAACTCACTGTATTAAAATTTTAAGATAAGTACATATTTGAGCATTGACGTAGGCACTTTCCAAAAATATTAAGAGCCATTAGCCAGAAATTAATAAACTTCTTGATCTTCCTCCCCCTTGAACACACTTCGGACGGAGATTATTAAAAAAGTGAAATAAAATTTATTTTGAGAGGAATTTTATGAAAGTAAGCCTTAGATGTGGCTGATGAATAACTTGGAGAAATTTATGAGTCAAGGAATTTAATAAATTGCTTTATAAGATTTAATTTTTAAGTTTATTTAAATAAAAATGAAATCGGTGCTAAGATTTACTGAGTGTTATTACAGTTCGTGATTAAGTTCAATGATACTTGACTTTTTATCGGTGTTAAAAGCATCGAATGAAATGGGGATTCTGGGTTATTATTGAGGATTTCTGGCTTTAAATTAACAAAATATGTTATTGATGATCTTCGGTAGTTTGAATACAACATGCTGTTCCTATAAACCCAGATTAACATATTTATATTTATATTTTGTTTTGAATTTTGGGATTTTTTGAAGTTTCTCTTGAAATTTTATTTGATTTTTGCTGATTTTTGTTGAAGATTACTAGTATGCAGAGTTCGAAGTCGACTTGAGGTTTTCATCGATTTTGTATGGCAGAGTCGACTCGAATCCATACAAAATTTCATCGACTTCGAGGTCTGCTAGGATGTATGTATGGATGTGTGTGTGTGGGGGGGGGGGGGGGGGGGTATTGTTGACAAATGAAAAAAATTGTTTGATATTTTTAAGATGATGATGATGATGATGTCATTTTACTCCACTGTGAAGTGTCAGGCGTTTACGAAACTTTCGAATCTTAAGCGATTGCTAGCTAATGCTACAAGCTCACTGAAATTTTTAACATGCTCAAAATTATTTCTTGATTCGCACAAATTTTCAGAGGATTAAAAATTTCAATTATTTCAGATTATTGTTTAAAGTTCTTCTAAAAACACATTCTTTGCAACATTTCTCAATAATCCTTTCTGTAAATTAAATATTATAAAGTTTTTAATTAAAATTTCATTCCCTCTAATCTCTAAACCAGTGGTTCTCAATATAAGTGCCGCGAAAAAAATGAATGATAAAATTAAGACTTCAAAAAGGTCATGAAAGTCATTGTGTATCGCGAGACCATTCAGGTGTGACACGAAAACTTTTATGTAAAAAAATGTGCCGTGAACCAAGAAAGGTTGGACACCACTGCTCAAAACCCAATCAATTTCCAATTCATCACCCAAGTTTATGTTTAAAAATTCTTCTAAAAACAAACAAAATTCAATTCCAAAAAATCTCTCTGGAGACATCACGATTAAGACAATATTTGCATTCATAAGCCTGCAATCCAAACAATCTCATAAAAATCAACAAAGTTCATCACTTCAGATTTCCATAGAAAATCAACAGAAAAAAAGACAAAGTAAATAGAAAATGCTTACAATTCCTTAAAGAAATGTGCTAAAAAGTGGATACGTAGATGTGAAAAAAGAGAGCATAGAGATAAAGACAGAGATGACTGAGTACT